GTCCAATACATAGTATTATTTTTACCAAGTTCTATTTATATCTATTGCTACCTTTTTTTAGTATTAATTATTTCTTCAAACAATAAAAGTTCCCTTTAAGCTTTGTTGTATTATTTGATAAATTAGTAAAACAATCAGAAACCAAAAAAAAAAAAAAAAAAAAAAAAAGAGTAAAAATGATTGAGATCATACATGAAAAATGAACTTACAAATATTAAGAATAATCTTTATAAGATTACACAAACCTATTGTTACTAAACTAGCATGTGGTAGAATATTATTTGTAATGCGATAGTTCTAAGTGCCATTAGTATAAAAAAATTTATACTTAATTTACTAATTTAGAGACACTCAAATTCAAATCATTGATACTGTGTAACTTGAGTAATTATTCATATCATAAAGATATTTGATTATTTTTCTTTATAAAAGGACTCAAATCATATACGACCAATATTTTGATTAAGAATTTTTTAAAATTAAAAATTATTAGATTAGTAGTGCTTGAGACTCGAGACATTATAAATGGCATCAAAACACATATTAGGTTCGTGACTCCAGACTACTAATTTAATAATTTTTAGTTCTAAAAAATTCTTAGTCAAAATTGCATAGTTTTACATCATCATATATGATCTCGATTAAGACATCAAAAATATGAGTGGTGGAGATTGTGATATCTTAATTCTAAGTTAGAAAAATATATGATTTTTGAGTTTTATATAAGAGATGAAGTTACACACAACCAATAATTTAAATTTTAGTTTTTAAGGGTCGGTAGTTTAAATGTAAAAATTGTTAAAAATGATAGTAATTGAGCTTGGGACATCACGTTGATAGTTCATTCACCATTCGCAAGGATATAAAAACTACTGTGCTAGACGAATCATTGACTACTACCAAATTTGGCTATAATATCTAGGTATAGAAAAAAATCACATTTCAAATTCATGAAGGTCACTATAGTAATGTCATTCATACTTACAAATGCATCTGCCACCTTTCGAGGTATAACAAATGACATTTTCAAGCCATTACTTAAAAAATATATTGTGGTATTTTTGAATGATATGGTCATATAAACAACAAATTTTACTTTGAAAAGGATTCTTCAAATGCTGAAATAGCATATTTGTATGATCAAATATCCAAGTATTACAAAACTTGCATCATGTAATTTTGAAGGAGAGAGCCCATATTGGCGCCAACAAAAATAAGTAAATTAAAAATGGTCTCAAACAATTGAAGTGAGTTGAAGAATTTTTCTGACATTATATGTCACTTCAAAATACTTAAAATAGAGGTTTTGGAACCCTTGAACAAAAAGAAAATAAATGATTTAAGTAGATCCAAGTAAAGAAATTTGTAAGAAGTTTTTCAAAGTAACCTTGCTTGACAAAAAGATTACCACAAAGTTAGAGAGGAAAAGGCATAAATTTTGTTGCAACCGCAATTAAGATTTTAAATATGCAATGACGAAGTCTTGTGATATTTTGTGTTTTCTTCTAAGAGCAATTTTTAACATTTCATTGTGCTTTTTATTTTTTTATTTTTTATTTTCTTGGTAATTTGTTGCATCACACACAAGAAATAATAAACCCATGTTAACCAACTAAGTTCCAAAGTGGTTCAAATGACTTCCATACCTAGAGAGAGAGTAAAGATGAAAGATTTTACTCAGAAAATACACTTTGGTGGAGTAATTATAATGTGAGGATAAAATTACATAAGAAAAATAAGAAAGATTTGATGTGTTTGGTTGATATAATATATGTCAGACAAGTTATTAATGAGAGAGATGCACCAAGTATATGGGAGAAATTAGTTGTACCAATATGCACATGAGAGAAAATAACAATATGTTCATTTGGAGAATATAGGATCAACTCATTCTCCCTTTATCTTCTTTAGCTCCCTCACATGGTACCTTTGTAGATATTATGAACAGAGTTTGGTGGTGACTGATTACCTTTGTAGATATAACAAGTATTTACACCCATCAGAAAATTTTATACAAAGAGAGCTGATAAGAACAGATTTGAAGAGAAAGAAAGAAGCACATATAGTCTTTGTGTTATAGTCAAGTTTCCCATACCTATTATTCAAAATTTGGATCAAACACAATTTAATAGAATTTAATACTCTTTTTTTTTTTTTTTTGTCTTTTTTCAAGAAAAATTCATATTCTTTTGTTGTTTCTTCTTACAACTTAGTGGATTTAAGTGATAAAATGTTTGATTAGTGAAACTAGTTATCAATTGTTTACTTTTAAATATGTTGTCATTAATTCATTAATCAAGTTTGGTATCTGTAGTTATTCTTAACCCAAAAGGAAACCTAATTAGCAGCAATGTCTTTTATTTAATGGAGACACATAAAACCAACTCACTGTTTTGAAAGGTCAGCATGAAACCCTTTTTTCTTTTTATAAAAAAAAAAAAAAAAATTCTAATTTTTTAAAGCACATACTTAATTAAATTGAAAAGAAAAGAAAAAAAAAAATTAGACACAGAATAATGTGGAACAGAAAACTAATTTTTGATAGTTAACTCTGCTTTTCAAATAAGTGCAGCTCTTTCCATTCAACTCATACCAAATTTAAACTTTAAAAATAAGCTTAATGGATTAAGATGTTAACCAAGCTGAGAGGTCATATTCTTTTATATATCATGACCTAATAAAACATGATTAGGAAAGAATAAGTGTAGTCAGTTAGTGTAATGAGGTTTGTACATGCACCTACCTACTTTGATTAAGTAATGCTTGTGAATCTTATTGGTGTCTCCACTTTAGTTGAATGCCACTAGGAAAAGGATTTTAATTAAGCTGATGGAATTAGAGTTAAACCCAAAAAAATCCACATCTTTATTTATACTCCTTCAATAGTCACTCAGCATATGTCATACAAAGCTTCAACTAACCCACAAAAATCCCTACATCATCAATCTGAAAAACACAGAAAATGATTCTAAACATGAAGGGTCTGATTTCATGGTTTGGTTTCAAAGTATGGAGATTTTTGGAGAGGGCATGGGAAATAGGCGTAGATGACCCCAGAAAAGTGATACATTGCCTTAAACTAGGACTGGCTCTTACCCTTATCTCCTTCTTATACTTCATGAGACCTTTGTATGAAGGTTTTGGAAAAAATGCAATGTGGGCAATAATGACAGTTGTGGTAGTTTATGAGCAAACTGTTGGTAAGTTACCTAAAATTGGTAATCGAATCATCAACTCTCCTATACGGGTGTTATGTCATCCGGGTTAGATGTTCTTTCCAACATTTTTAAATATTACTTGTCCGTGCTGGCTGCAGGTGCAACTCTATATAAAAGTTTGAATAGAATGATTGGAACTTCTGTTGCTGGATTTCTTGCTGTTGGTGTTCACTGGGTTGCTACTCAATCAGGCCAAAAATATGAGCCTTTCATTGTTGGCATCTTTGTTTTCATCTTAGGTTTGTGTATTACTCATCTTTTGTTGATCAAATTGATGGCAAAAAAGAAAAAAGAAAAACTAAACTTTGTGTTTTCCTCCAGGTTCTGCTGCAACCTTTTCCAGGTTTATTCCAATAGTGAAAGCACGATTCGATTATGGAGCTCTCATCTTCATCCTCACATTCAGCTTGGTCACAATATCAGGTTACAGGGTTGATGAATTGCTGAAAATGGCTCAACAAAGGGTATCCACCATTATTATTGGAACTTCCTTGTGCACTATTGTGATCATGCTAGTATGCCCTGTCTGGGCAGGTGAAGAGCTACATAATTTGATCATTCTGAACATGAATAAACTAGCCAATTCCTTAGATGGTTAGTCCTCCATTGTAGCTACTCATGCTTAGGTTCTTCGCCTTTTTCCCCCCCAACAACCCTTCACTTCTTTTCAACTTTTCAGGTTGTGTAACCCTGTTTTTCAACAATGTTGATCAAAATAATGAAGAATCCCAGACAAAATTGCTTGGCTATAAGTCTGTCCTAAGCTCAAAGGGAAATGAAGAATCTATGGTACGTGACAGAACTGATTAGATATGGAAATATTAGGCTTATAGAAGAAGTTCTTTTAAATCACAGTTTCCTCTTTTGCAGGCAAATTTCGCTAGATGGGAGCCGGCTCATGGTCAGTTCAACTTTCGTCACCCGTGGGAACAATACCTCAAAATTGGAGCAGCAATTAGAAGGTGTGCTTATTGTATAGAAGCTCTCAATACTTGCTTGACCTCAGACAATCATAAGGTTAATTTTTGGTCTTTCTGAAAATCTTAACTAGTTTGTTTTGTGAACTTATAAAGTAGTTAATGCAAGAAGGATTTTGCACATTAACAGGCCTCTCAAGTTATAAAGAAACAAGTAAAAGGTAGCTGCTTGAGATTGAGTTCCATCTTTTCAAGTGCAGTAAAAGAGTTAGGCAAAAGTATTCAGTCTATGCGAAAACCATCCACTGTAAACTTGTTTGGAGAAATGAATAATGCAGTACAAGAGCTTCAAAACGACTTGAAATCTATTTCTGATTCACTCAATTTAAGTCCGCCCTCAAATCCACAATCTCTTCCTACACTGATGGAGATCATTCCACTAGTAACTTTTGTTGCTTTGCTGATTGAAATTGCATCGCGGGTTGAGGTCATTTCTAACGCGGTTGAAGAGCTAGGCAATGTAGCTGAATTCAAGGATGCGGAATCTCCAAAGAAGTCGAAACAAAATCAGAATAACTAAACAACTTGTAGCAGATGAATATAGGAAAATTGTGTGAGCATGCAGTGAAGAATGAAAAAGGGATATGTGGGTTAAATATTAAACAGGTTTATTCAACTGCTGATATTAGTAAAAAGAAAGTGGCGAGTGTTGATGATGATCAAAATCTTATAATCTATTTTGTATTTTCCATAAACTTATCCTTATACACAGTCTTGAATTTAGTATGGTTAAATATATTGATGATGTTTTTCTTGTGTCAACTCGAAAACTAAGTTCGATTTTATCAAATACATTATTCAATGAGTTGTTAAACCTTATTATGTCTACATACATATACATATATTCATGTACTTACAAGAGAAGTATTAGAGA